GTGATGACAAACGTAAATGCTCGGCCGGGCTAGGGCTAATTTGATTTGTTCAATTAGTCTGTCGTCATAATCGGAAATCGAGAAGTAGTACAAAGAGTGATTTGACATCAATATCTCATACGATATCTAGAATGGAGGAATATATGATCCCTTATCTAAGGACACGCGTATCTGATAGGATCAGACTTGACAGCAGCTTTGGAAAGCTACGATTGCAGATCAGGATCTGAAGTCATACGCAGAATAGTATTAGACTTATCCAAGTGGGAGACTGTTGGATTAGTGTTTAAGTTCATAACTATTTTGGTATGTACTTGACCCGATGGTGCATGGTCCTTTTGGGTTGCCTTCACCAAAGCAACTTGATTGGAGAAATAAATAAAGAGAGAGAGGTTATTATGATTTATTAATATGTTATAAGAATAATATATTAAAGGAGAAATCATATTTGCTTAATTAAATATTGGTCAATAATTAATTAGGAATTAATTTTGTGATCAAGTGTAATTAATTAACCTAGAGGGGCTGAATTGTAATTATGTGATAGTTACAAAATATTGTAATGGTTATCCTAAATATGGGTTGAACAAATTCAAGGAGATAAGGATCCTTGAAATCGTCCAAAGGATAAAGGATAAGGGTTTTTCAAGGCTTATCTTATGGTTGCTTTGTGGATAAGCAACTAGATAAGGATAATGACTGAAACCCTATCTCTACACCTATATAAAGACCCTAAGGCCTTAGAATTCGTGTACTTGTTCCCAAGAAGTCCTAAGGATGAATTCTAACCTCTCTCCTCTCTCTTTATGCCTTCTCCATTTTCTCTTGGTGTTTGTAAGCCATTAGAGGAGTGACACTTGTGACTCTAAGCATTCCAAAGTCAATTCAAGGTAGAATTAGGATTGTTATTGCTATATAACAATCAAGGTATGTTCTTAAACCTTATTATATGTTAATATCGATTTCCATATGCTAGTATTAGGGTTTGAAGTCTTGGATTCAAAGCATGTACAATAGAGAAACCTAGATCCAAGCATTAGGGTTTGTATGAGCACATAGGATGTCTTATGACCAAAACCCATCAAAACTTTCTTGTGTTGGTACTTTTAGTCCATAAACAATTTTCATGGATTTATGAGGGAACGAAGTCGTTTTTGTCAAGTCGATTACATCCTTTTGGCTAGATTGAAGGGGTCACCCGGTTACCACTTTGCCACATTGACATTTGTTGACCAATATTCCCACATAGACTTTGAATTTTCTACTACCCTTTGACCCACATCTCTCTCTCTCTCTCTCTCTCTCTCAATTCTTCATGTCACTATTTAGATTTGTCTCTTCCCTTCTACATATGGGTTTTAAGAATAAGATGTGGCTATTATTTTTTATCCACAAACATGTAAAAAAGTGAAAGAATATCTTGAGTTTCAAGGAGGAACTCACAAAACCCACCGTCAGGCCAACTATTCTTTGGTTAAGGCTTACCGTTGAAGTGGTGGTTTGTAGTGGTATTCGGGACTGTGGCCTGAAGATGGGTGATCATTAGGCTTATGGCCTTTGTAAAAGCGAGATCTAGACCCATTTTGGTATGTATAATGTAATTGAGGTGATCTGGGAGTTTGGGTTGTGCCTTGGAGCCAAGGGTTATATCGATAAAGTGGCAGTCTGAGCTCTTTATGACTTTTGGATTTTCGTTTGGAAGGTTTTGAAGGGAGGATAAGTTGATAGATATATAGAGCTTCTCGCCACCTTTTCATGGATATAAAGAACATCAAAAACGGAGTTGAAACGAAGAAGTTATGGCCGTTTGAAGTTGGAGTGGTTCGGGTGAGTGATTGTTGACTTGTTGACCGAGCTCATTTAAGGCTCACAACGTGAGCAAGGAGGGATCACGATGTGAGGAGCATATGATGCACTAAAACCCTAATTTTTGGGTATTTAAAGGTATAAGATGATTAGGGTTGCTTCTAATCAGCCTCTTTCACTCCCAAGACCTCTAGAAACCATAATCTCAGCCCCTTATTGAAGTTCTTGGTCATTTTGGTGTTATTCAAGAGATTTAAGAGGCTTTGAAGCTTATTAAGGAGAAGAATATCATTGGTGGTGCATTGGTTAGCTTCTTGGGTTCATCATCAGGTAGTTATGGAGCTTTTAGACCTTTGTAAGTCTTCAAGTTCATGCCTTTCCTTTCCTTGCTTGCTAGATCTAAGTTTCCATGCATTTTATGGCTTGTAATGTTGGTTAGCATGCATGGAGTCCATAAAGTTGGCAACTTTATGGATCATGGTGGTATCTTAAGCCTTATAAGTCTTAGATCTGGTTTTTGGTCATGGTTTAGGACTCTAAGTTTGAGTCTTGGACCTTTTTACTCAATTTTGACCCAAGTTGGTGTTTAAGTCATGTATTGGACGTGTGACTAAAAAACTTCGATTTTTATGGTCCTTGGGGGGGGGGGGGTGTCAAGGATTACCCTATAAACTGTCCCATGTTAAGGCTTAATGGATTAAGAGCTTAATGCTCATTTTTGGTCAGAGATGGACTCACAACGTGAGGAATGAAGCCTCACGACGTTAGTACGTATTCAAGGAAGTTCCTGGACTGAAACCACGACCTCACGATGTAAGCAGCCCCTGTGCAAGTTTTGGACTCTTTGGTTGTGGGCTAGCTTAGTATTGGACTTCTCTTTTGGTTTGAGCTCATAATGGACTAAGGATTTTAGAGTAATGGACTTCTGGTTGGGCTTGCCCTAATGGGCCTTGGATGATGAATTGGGACTTAGTGGGACCAATGTAGTTAGGTCTTGATTCGGCTCAATAGGTTTGGACTTTGGGCCATTGAAAAATCATTGGTTCATAAAAATAATTGGCCTTTGGGACAAGGCCCATGTAAGGGTTTGGGCCCAATTTTCCATTGACGGATATTTATGGACTTAATAGTTTTGGGCCTTGGTTGTGAATCTTGTTGGGCCAGGGGTGAAACGATCATTTTACCCCAAGTAAGGACTATTCGGTTTTGACTAAGTGTTATTCTGAAGCTCAGGGATCTAAGTGTTATTTTGACTAAGTGTTATTTGGGAGTCGAGAGATCAGCAGTTCGGGGATCGGCCAGCTAGCAACTAGAGGTTTATCCATGGGATTCTACATTCAACTTTGCAAGGTGAGTTTTTCTCCAGTAGGAACCGGTCGAAGGCACCAATGTCAGCCCGTTTATGTATTTTAATGTATAACGGATTTAGATCTGATACCGGTGTTAACCTGATGTAGTTTATATGTTCCGGATTTTGGTTTGATGTCGGGCGAGGCCCGAAGAAGGTTCATGTGTATGTTTCTGAACTACGGTTTGATGTCGGGTAGTACCCGAGGAAGGAATGTATGTTTAGTTATACTTGTTGTCTTTGTAATACTTGTATTTGCCTTGTAGGGAGATGAGTGTCGGTGGGGGCTCGTATCTCATCACTAGCTGAGCATAGACTGGGTTCCATATCTCATTAGTAGCAGAGTAGGGGCGAGGCCCAAGATAGGTAAGGCCTTAAGACTAGTAGATATAGTGTTGTGTTTGTCTGTTATGTACTAGCTTGATTATGATTATATGTTTTTATGTGTATAGCGGGCGAGGCCCCAGAGACACATGGGGCCTAGTAGAAACAGATATGTATACCGAGCGAGACTCGATGCTAGGTGGGGCCTGATGCCAGATTCGTCCGATACCGGGCGAGGACCAATGTAGCAGGCTAGGCCCAATGTTTACAGTATGTGATTATGTGTATGATATATGGCAGTTTGGGGAGACTCACTAAGCTTCGTGCTTACAGTTTTCAGTTTTGGGTTCAGGTACTTCTGGTAGCAAGGGAAAGAGCTCGGGATGACTGCATGATACATACCACAGTTTTCAGCCTGGAATATTTTAGACTCTGATATTTTGATACATGGTCTTGATACAATATTATGATATATTATTTGAGATATACGATTTAGGATTTTAATATGTTGTTTTATGAATTATAGGTTTTCTTAAATGGTTTAAAACGAAATTTTTGGACTATGTTTTTGGGATGTTACAAGATTTTAGGATCTCACCACAATCTTAGAAGTCAACATTCCATTTTAACACACGAATATGATGAATAGAAAAGGGATAGGCCCAAGTTTTGTATATGTGGCACTCAAACCGGGTATAACAAGTTAAAGAGACTAAAAAGATAGATAAATCATGATTTTGTACCCTCATAAAACCACGAGAATAGTTTAGAGACTAAAATAATTAACCTTGAAAAATTCTTAGGGCATTTATATCATTTCCCCTTTCTTTATAAATCTTGTGTTTACATAAATTGCAGTTTTATTTAATTTCCAAATATACCTCTTGATTAATTATAGAAACAAATACTCGTAAATGTCATTTTATGTAATTTTATATATTTAAGCTAGTTTACCAAACGTCATTTTTTATCAATAACTTTTTCAACTATCAGTTAACTTTTTATTTCACAGCTATCTTTTCAGTTAGTAGTTCAACGTAACTTTAATGTTCTTATCAATATTCTCACAAAGAATGGTAAGTTCGTATAAGCAAAAACCAATTACAACTACCCAAAAAGTTGTCACTCATAAATTCATAATATTGTATCTTTATAAAAAGTAAAACAGAATAAAATAAAATGTCAAAAACCAATTACACCTTCCAAAAAATTGTGAGTCATAAATTCATAATATTGTATCTTTATAAAAAGTAAAACAGAATAAAAATAAAATGCCAAAATGTAGCTTTGGAGTCCAATGTATCAACAAAAAGAAAGGCCCAATAAGAAAACGCCCATCACAATGACATATATTCCTTCTCCTATATAAATAGCTTCTATTCCTTTTGAGTCTATACTCTTTATAGTATATACCAAATAAGTGAACAGCACTTCTTTCCTTCACTTCACCACTCGGATTTGAGTTCAAGTTGTGGCTGCTTTCTACAAATCATATTTCCTGCTTGTATAGTAAGTCTCCTCTTTCTAACTCAATAATGTTTTGTTTTTATCAGATTTAGCCAATAAATTGTTATAAGAGTTTATAATATAGACAATACATGTTTTCGTTGAAAGGTGCAACTAATCGACCAATTTGGTGTGAAGTATTTTAATTATCAAACTAAATGATGCTATAAAATATATATATTTTAGTGATAAGCCTTTGCCAATTTCTGAATGTTAGTCTTGTATCAACTTCTGAATGTTAGTCTTGTACCTTGTATCTTGTATCTAATGATTGCATCGACCTTGGTTTTTATATGTTGTTTTAAGGGATTGAAATGATGTTAATTTAAGTCTTATATTTTGTATCTAATGATTGAAACCAAATGTCTTCTGACTAGTAGTATCAGTTGTGTTTAGGTTGAGGGTGCAAGTACTAAAAAAAAAAAAAAAAAAAAAAAAAACAAATAGCTGGATTTAAGAGAATGATTTGTAGGTGTATGAGTTTGCTATTAAGAAAATTCAATGAAAACATGATTTGTGTGATTTTCTTTTGAACGAAAAATACATGATTTGTCTGGTGATGCATATTGCACATGATTATCAGCGTCTAATTCCTTATATTTTGCTTGGTGCAAGAGATAATTCCTTATATTTTGCTTGGTGCAAGAAAGTGGGAAGTAAATATGGATAAAAACAAAGGTGCAAAATAATCATGACTTAGATGATGTGATTTTCGGCTTCATGCACACCATATGAATGTCTTTGTTTCTATTTACTTGTCCATATATGTGATTTTGAACTCATACAAAACAATACTTATTTGTTTCTATTACTATGTCCAGACATGGGCCATATTGAATCTTATTTTTAATTATTAAATAAATGAATTAAAATAATAAAGAGTCTGTATTCATATTCGCTTCTATTATTTGATTTCCTAGAAAAACCTTTGTCCTCTTGAAAGTGAAACATTTGACATGATAGAAACTAAAAGTTTCAAGATAGATTTTGAATCAAATTCAACTAATTTAGTATATTAATTTTAATATTAGAAAACTTGTTTTTAGATAAACAAAAAAATAAACAAAAAAATTTATTAAAATTTTCAATATATTTAAATCTGCCACTTATTTTAATAAGTTTTTATAACATCAATATTAATTAAGAAATTATGAACAACGAATTACATATTATATATTATATATTATATATTATATAATAGTTATATTTACTTCTAGAAATGTATTTTTTTAACAAATTTATAATATAAGTGGTTCATAGAAAAAGTTTATAACATAAAGAGTAAATTAAGTTTATAATATAAACAGAATTACGGATACGGTTTAGAGTAACTTGTATGTTTGATCTTATTTTTCTTTTAACTAAGGGTTTTTTTTTTTTTTTTTTTTTTTTTTTTGCATCTTTGGTCCTTGCAGACATAAAATGACTTTTTTTTTTTAAGTTGGTTTTACTTTAATATTTTTAGTATTAACAATTAGAGTAAATGGCTCACCCCACAACACCAACCCACCCAACTATCTATGCCATTTTAAACTCAAAGTCATATACTTTTTTCTCTAATCTATGTTGGAAATTCCACCGGAAACGACATTCATCGCTGAGAAACTAGATCCATCGACATACCACCTCCACTAACAAGATAAAAATGTAGGAAAGATCTTCAAGTACAATGACAACTCTGTTCCAAACTTCTACCGCCCCCTCTCGCATTTACCATCGGTTACCCACACACGATATACCCAACAGAAAATTCAAAATCAAAGAAAATATGTTTTTCGGTAGACCATTGAATCTTTAAGTTTTCAAAATGCACCAAGATGAAACCATAATAGCCCCAAACTTTGGAAGTATTCAAATGCAAAAAGCAAGCAAAGGGTTCCAAATTCATATTCTTCACTTGAATCACCATCTACAATCAGGGATGAAACCCAACATGATTAAACCCAAACCATTTATCTTTTTTTTTTTTTTTTGTCCTTTTAAGCCTACCCCGTGGTCCGATCATCTTTTCCGACCACCCTATCATCATCAGAGACTTCCTCTTCTTGCCTTGTCACCATTAACCCTAAAAGGTAACGTGAAAATACCCGATCAAAAACCAAAATCATATCATCCATTAAACAAGCTAGAAACGTTAACGTTTGCTTTAACCTAAAAAGGTTTTAGACCATAACTTTGTACTAATTTGTTTCAAGTTGGTTACAATCGCATGTAACAAACTTACAAATTAATATTAAGACATGTTTTGATAACTAATGAAAACCAAAAGCCGAGAAGCACCACCACCACCACCACTATCAGAGAAGCACCACCTTACCGAAGAAATCAATTTTCTAATTTGTGGTTCATGTGAGAAATCAAATACTATAGAAAGTTCTTCTCGGGGAGAAATAAATCGAATCAAAATGAATCACTACCATGATGTTGATGTTCTTGTTCGAGTTTTGCCGTTGACTTCCTAATTTGTCTTTCTTTGGCAAGTAAAGGATGGAGAGCTCTAATCGCACATGAGGAGGCTTCGTGATTTGAGTTTTTCTTGGGAGAAAAATGATGAAGACAGGGAGGGAAGCTCCGAAGGTAGGAGGTTGTTGTCTCTAGACTTTTGAACACAGATGGAGAAGATAGAAATGGATATATCATATTCTTTTTTGGTAAGATTACTAAAATCTCACCTAGGTAAATCGATTCCCATCTTACTAGGACCGTTTTTTGGTAAGACTATGGTAGGGTCATAGCATCGGATCGTAAGATTGTAGAATTGATTGTAAGATCATAGGAGTAGTTACTATTTTTTATTATTATCCAATATTTTTTTGAGCTAACTACGTAGAATACCTTTTTGAATTGTTTATCGTTAAATGATTTAAATGATGTATTGAATACATATTTTTATGCTTTAAACTATTATTGTTAACTAATGGTTAGCAAATGGATAAAATGTATTTTTTTAAGTTTTAAAATGCTTTTAATAGGATCTTATATTTTAGATTCGATCTTATGATCACAATCTTTCAAAATGGAAAAGATCATATATAAGATCCCAATCTTGACAATGGAAAGAGAAGTGGATGAGGATATTTAATTTTATAAAACTATAAATAATAATTAATATAAAAAGAAAATTAAAACAAATAAATAATGGTAAAATAATCATTTTATGTATGTTAGAAACCAAAGTTAAAAAAAAAAAAAAAAAAAAAAAAAAAAAAAAAAAAAAAAAAAAGTTAAAAATCAAATACACAACCAAACCATAAAGTGCATTGTGTAATTTACTTTAACATAAACATCTTAATGTTAAAATTGTGTAGTTCTTTTGTGTCACATGTATCTTACCCATTGTGGATTCTTTTCTCACGACACTAAATTTTCAAATTCTAAATTATAATACTATCCATTATATCCTTATCATGTCACATGTATCTTACCCATTGTGGATTGGGTAATGCTCCAGTAAGAAAATAATCAATTTGTGTGCATTAGTTGGAAACGTGGGATCCAATGGTCCGGGCAAAACAATAATAAAATAGAAAAACTAAATCGAAATAAACATTTTTATCTGCAAATCAGGTCGTAAATCAATATGTAATTAAGTTTCTTGATTTGTATAATATGATTAAAAAATATCTGAATTCAAAAACCGATTATGGAAACGTATATAGCTTTAAAAATATATTGAACCAAAAACCATTAAAAAAAAATCTCAAACTGTATCAAATAAATATAGTTAGTAATTATTATATCCTTTCTAATAAATGAAAGTTTTTTTTATCACTTGCTATCCTTTCATTCAATTTTTACTTTATGGTTATTTTGATTTTTTTTTTTCAAATGTTATTTTATGAGTTTTTTTGTTTTTTTTTTAATTCTACATAATATTTTAATATAATAATTGCAATAAATATAGTAATAAATAGATATCAATTTTAATTAATAAATTACCTTTTAATTTTAAAATTTCCAAAATTAAAACTCATTAGTTTTTTATTTATTTATTTAAATTATTTGTTTAAATTTAAAAGATAAAAACATTTCCATTATAATAATTCTTAATTTTTCTTATATATTCAAAGTTTTTAAATATTACGACATTTATATTTAGTTTTTTTTTTTAATATTAACATATGTAATAAATTAGTGTCACAGCTAGTAGTTAACCAATGCATAAAATCACTAAATTTTGCATAATTTATTCCCACCCTATTGTCGGCCTTCCCCTACCCTTCAAAAATCAAAACAAATCACAGATCGATCCTTTATCTAGTTTACAAACCGAAATTACATAGACACACTGCAGAGAAAAAAAATGTCGTTAAGAGAACAAAGAACACTCTCAATTTAACTTTTATAAATATGATAATAAACGAAAACAAATACAACCACCACGAACACGGAAATTTTGTGAACATATATGATAATTGTATAGTCCCATATTATTGGCCTTCTATAGTATAACTCACCATTGTATTTGTATATATCCCATCTTATGTTAAGAGACGAGATACCAGATATACATTATCCAACATGACATCAGAGAAAACCCTCTAAACCCTAGTCATCTCCCCTCGGCCTCATCGAGGATCTCCCCCCCCCCCCCCTCTCTTTCTCTTTTTCTTTCTTTCTTTCTTTCTTTCTTTCTTTCTTTCTCTCTCTCTCTCTCTCTCTCTCTCTCTCTCCATGGCCAACGACAAGGATGGTTCCCCTTCCCTAGAGAATTTGTATGACATTACCATCATAAAAGCCTAAGTTCATTTTGTTCGTGACCTCGATTAACTCAACCATGATGCTTGGTGTGAGCTCTTTGAAACTCATTATGTGTTTGATCACATTGATGCCTTATGTGATACACCCGATACGATCCATGAAGAACCTCTATAGAATAAAATCATTTATATTGTAAAGCTTTAGATCTATAAGCAACAATTTCTAAAACCCTTCTTCAAATGATTCTAAACCAGAGTGCAATGGTCTGTGAAATTTTGATCAATTTGGACACATTATTACGTAAAAACAAAGATGATTAAATTATATAACTATGTGATTCATCCATTAAAACTTATTGTACCCACATCAAAATGATCCCATATCTTCTTGATAATATTGTTGCCTTGGTACTCATGAAGAAACATCGTCGCCTACATGATTGACGAGTTATCCTCCATGTTTAACTAGATTGGAGGGATTATACATCATCGAACCCCCCTTAAAACCTTTTAAGAAGTATGCTAAAACCACGGATACAACACCCTCAAGAAACCTCTTTCACCCTTACCATGCTTAGCACAAAGTCCTATAACCGTAGGAACCTTCGAGGGAATAAACATCGAGGTCATGGATAATATCACACCTACCAACAATAACTATAAAACATCCACACAACATTATCATGGGCATACGATAATATGTTGTTGAATGACCCCAATAAGGGTTCTTTTACCATTGTAGTTAGTTTTCCAGTCCTATTAACAGCTGAATCCATGCTCGATCCAATAACAACCATGTGACATGCAGACCTAACACCATCTTCAACTCATCGCCCATCGACCCTTATTTGTAGGCCTCTTCCAACAAGCACCAACTTAGGACCAAGTTATGAAAACCTAACAACCATCACCCTTCATATAATTGGCTTCCCTCTATTCCACCTAATCAAGCCACCCTACCCCCTTTCACAATTGTTAAATACCAAGACTCAATATGATAAGGGAAATAATGTATGGTATGAAGAGAAACCTATTACTTTATGAAAATCTAGGTATTATCAATCCTTATAGCTTCACATATAATCAAAAGGATGATAAATTATGTGTGTGTTGCACACTATATCCAAATATAAACCTAATGTTTGATGCTTGTAAATCATTTTTTTGAAGATGACTATGAAGTGAAGTATATTTATGTCTAGTTAGTGAACGAGGATATGATATGAAACCACAAGGGAAAAAAACTATATGAATAATAGCGAATTTTACACTTACGCTAAACGTCTCATCATAGTTAAATCATGGATGTCGAGTTTTTCCATTAGTAACTAAACAAGCTTCATAAAGAGCAAGGAAACCATCATCACTAAATTTATTTTCAGAAAGCCATACATACTTAGAAATATTAACCACTAATGGTAGCAGTTCAAGGATTCAAGTTCGATTAGGAAAAAAAAAATTATAGTATTTATTAATGGCATTAACATTTGGATCCTATAAAGCCTATAGGTACAAAAAAGTCTCATACCAATAGGTAGTGGTACGAAGGTTAAGTTACATAGTGGTTTTAACATTGCATTGTTTAAAATATGTCATCATTAGATGAGAGGATGACATTGATATAGATGATTTTAAGGACAATAATGTGACATTGATATGGTTATTATGGACTTGGTATCATGAGGAAGGGCAATATGGTTGAAGGATAGAGGGTTGTGGTTATAATGTGTCAAAGGTGTACATGGTAGTAGTCTCGAAAAACATGAAATCAAGAAAGTGATGCAAGATTAATGCTAGAGTGTAAGGAACATCAAGAAAATTATATGTCATCGATTAGTCAAATTCTTGGAATCAAAGGGAGATGGCCTTATTCAAGGCAATATATTATATGATGATGTTTTTTGGTGGAAATATTACGGAAAAATATCCTACCCATAGGACATGTAACTAAGAGAAATGCATATAGTTGTGTAAGGGGAAGTTTATATTAGATGATGAGGTCTTGATAGTACACGCAACACATAAAAAGGTTTGAGTGGTAGTAGTCTTGTTATGCATGAAATCAAGAACGCGGTGCAAGATCAATGAGGGAGCATACAAACTTTCAAGAAAATTATATCACATGGATGAGTAAAAATATTAGAATCGAATGGGAATATGGTCTCATCCAATGCAACATGTTATGTGATGATGATTTTTAATAGAGATATAATAATAATAATAATAATAATAATAATAATAATAATAATACACATGTACCTAAAAGAAATGCATAGAGGTGTCTAAGGGGTAATTTTTTTGTAGCATGATGAGGCATTGATAGTACAAGCACCCAAAGACGCAAAGTTAGGATATGATGGTGACTTGGAAATAAATAATAGTAAGTAACGAAATTTTGGATCGAAGTGGAAGATATTGGACTACATTTATGTGTATGTCTTTTTGTATTCTTTGTATATGTAATTATTGTATGTCTCTTTGTATTCTTTGTGGATGTTATATATAATTATCCCAACTATATAATGAGCATAACCTCATGTCTTTTTATATGAAGATTCATTTATACAAAAGGTAAATAAATAAGAATGTAGGTAGTGATGTGAAGGGATTTGACATGGTATGTAAGTGGAAGATGAGCATTAATCATAAAAGTATGAATGGCATTGTCACAATGTAAATAACATGTTCAGAGTTACAATTTCATTGTTTCATATGCGAACATCAAAAAACAAATTTGTATAACAATTTAGTCAAAACAAATTACTATAAAACTATCCTAGGAGACGTAAATCAGGACAATGTTGTACCAATTCAACATGAAAAATGCTAAATCCAGAAGTACATGTTTCGAAGGTCACATTAAACTCTAAAACAATCACCATAAATAGGTGAAGGCAATAAAGATAGCTTGGATTCCTTATGCATGGGAAGCAAGCACCTTGATTTATGTTATGGTTTGCATGAGGCCAAACATTGCTCATGTAGTGGGAGTCGTGAGAAGTTTTTTTTTTTTTTTTAATATGGTAAAAGAGCATTAGGAAGCAATCAAATGGCTAGTATGTTACTTGAAACATACTTCTAAGGTTGCCATATGTTTCTAAATAAAAGGGGATATCTTTGAAGGATTAATCAATGCATACTTGGTTCGATGTTCAGATTTAATGAACAACAATACAAGTTATGTGTCCACCAGTCCACTATTGGGGTACATTAGTTAGTTAGATGCCTAGATTTCATTTAGTGTTTCTCTTTCAACCATAAAAGTTGAATACATGGCCATTGCACAGGATGGAAAGGAGCTTATCTAGCTAAAGAACTACTTATCAAAGTTGGCATTAAATAGGGTGATATGCTGTATTCTTTATTTTGACAATCAAAGTGCAATTTATCTCACAATGAATCCATATGTTTAATGGAAGGAATAAACACATTTCGATGAGATACCATTGCATCAAAGAGCTTATTAATGATGGTACGTTGTCCTTGTAGAAAATCCTTGGTACAAAGAATCTAGTAGATTTGTTTACCAAGGTGGTGACACCACAAAAGTTGAAGCTGTGCTCGAATTTAATTGGCCTTCTATATGACTATGAGAAGGTGGTTACTTAATAGAAGACGAGGTTTATGAGAGGTACATGATTTGGATAAAAGTTGATTTTTTGATCAACCTCCAAGTGAGATATTTTTGTTGTTGTTAGAATTCGTGTTAAGCTTCAGTTATCCTTCAAGATGGCTGATAGAAGGTGCCAAACTAGAGAGAAGAAGAGGCTTGAGAGTACGTTACATGCTTTTGACGACAATTGATTTGTTGGTCATCCTCTATAAGCGGGCGGAAGAATATAAATAACAGACTAATGGTGATACTATGTTAGCATCCCACATCGTCTAGACACAATTTCGTTTGTATCTGAATGTAAATGTAAACTTAATCCCCCAAGATTAATAATAAACTGATCTCTTGTGTTCTTTATATTTCTCCGCATCCTTTAACTGTGCGCTTGTCGGTTGAACACCTACCAATTTTCAATTATTGATATATTTTGATAAACGATTGTAACAAAATATACAAATTGAAAGTATAACAAAAGTTACATTTTTATTACACATCTAAAGTCTCAACAAAGGTTATCGCCATTAACTTTTATATAAATTAACTTGCTGATCAGACTTTTTTATGAATTACGCCTATCATATAGTCGGGTTTCTACTTTTCTCTAATCTACCAGAACATCAATCTTTTTTCCCAAAAACTGACATTTTAACACATTAATATAAATGTTCGTAACTTCCATGTTCTCAGGATGGATGACGGGATGGAAACAAAGCTTATTCAACAAGGACAAGAAGATGATGATGACTTGAAACGAAGGATATGGGTCGAATCAAAAAAGATATGGAGGGTCGCGTTGCCTGGTATTATAGCAAGGGTTTGCGCTTTTGGAACTCTTGTTGTCACTCAGTCATTCATCGGACATATCAGTGAAACAGATCTTGCTGGCTATGCACTTGTTCAAACACTTAGTGTTCGGTTTGTCAATGGAATACTTGTAAGTTGACCATAATTGTTTGGTTATCATTAACAAAAGCCACCAATCATGACTCATGATCATTAATTCTAAGCTTTCTACAAACCAAAAATCCCTTAAATCGACCATTTTCGTTCTAATTAAAACGTATATATCCACAGTTGGGAATGTCGAGTGCAACTGAAACCCTTTGTGGACAAGCATTTGGAGCCCGACAAGACCATATGATGGGTATTTACTTGCAACGATCATGGATTGTGGATTTGATTACTTTGACGATCTTGCTCCCAGTCTTCATCTTTGGAACACAAATCTTTAAGCTTGTAGGCGAGGAAGAATCAATAGCAAACAGTGGAGGATACATATCATTATGGTTCATCCCTTTTGTATACAACTTCGTTTTCAGCTTGACCATACAAATGTATCTTCAAGCACAATCAAAGAACATGATCATTGCATGGATTTCGATTTTCCAATTCACGATCCATATACCTTTGTCGCTACTTTTTATATATAAGCTGAACATGGGGCTCTCAGGTGCCATGCTTGCATTGTCGTTTTCATCTTGGTTCCTTGTGATTGGCGAATTCATCTACATTTTTGGAGGATGGTGTCCGCATTCATGGAAAGGATTCACAGTTGCTGCTTTTAAGGATCTGTTACCTGTTGTGAAGCTCTCAATATCCTCTGGTGTGATGGTCTGGTAAGTATTATCAATATATTTATAAAAACTATTTGGTTTGACCATGCATAAAAAGTCAAACCAACTAGTTTTTAACTTCGAAATCAATATTAAATTTCCACAAAAGCACATGACTTCTATTACGATTGAAGTGATTTTTGTCACATGAAAAGTCAAACTGTGATTTAAATAATGTGTAGCTTAGAGTTATGGTACACTGCTTTTCTGGTCTTACTTGCTGGATACATGGAAGATGCCGAGGTCGCAATAGCCGCCTTCTCCATTTGGTATCATTTTTTTGATCCTATTCCTCCTTTTTTCCACTTATTTTGCTAGAAAACCAATCTCCTTATTGGCAACAATTTTCACAGTCTGAATATTAACGTATGGGAGTTGATGATAAACCTCGGTTTCTTAGGTTCAGCATGGTGGGTGATCGTTGATTTCTTAAGAATTTTCTATCTATTAATTAAACTTTGGTATGTGACTGATGCGTGTCATATTGAAATTTAAACATTTATACAGTGTTCGGGTGGCAAATGAATTAGGAAGAGGAAACGCTAAAGCAGTGAAGTTTACAATAAAAGTCTTGTTGGGGACTTCCATTACCATAGGCTTATTCTTCTTCATTCTTTGTTTGACATTTGGAAAAAAAATTGCATACTTGTTTACAAGCGATGCCAGGGTTGCAGATGCAATATCGGATCTCTCTTTTCTTCTTTCTTTTTCGGTATTGTTGAACAGTGTATATCCAGTACTATCAGGTAGCTATATCTTTCCATTTGGTAACATTTATATTTTAAGAAAGTTTAGGCATAAATGCGAGTCCACCATGCTTAGAGTATCCACAATGCATATTTTAATAAAATGTTTGAAAGAGATCGAATACCTAGTTAGCACTCAATATGTTAGCCTCAACCATACTAGTGGGGTGCATGTTGATGTTCGTGGATATTGAAGGGTTTGATGGCGATTGAACTCTTCAATAAAAATCAAACTATTCATTTGGAAAAATGAAGCGTTTTTTTATATATAAAAGAATTAACAAATAATTGATTCTATTTGTATAATTATTTATGTTGCGTTAATCTTTTGTATAGTTTAATACATTGTAAGAAACAAAAATATGTGAAAAATGGAATAATAATGGAACATTCCATTAATCTCTATAGATTTCAATGAATTGTTGATGCATTATTATTTCTATTATTGTAAAGTTTCTATTATTGCTTGTTTGATATGAAATATTATTGCTTGTTTCTATTATTGTAAAGTTTAAAGGTTAATATTTACAAGGGTATTACCGCACAAACGGAGGCTTACAACTTAGTGTTCACCATAATTGGACTTTAAATTTCAAGATTTGGAGCTTTCTATTTTGGGAAAGTTTACAAGTTAGTTTTATTGTTTGTTATCAGGGGTGGCAATTGGAGCTGGAATGCAAGGAGCTGTAGCAGTTGTGAACTTCGTTTGTTATTACATGATCGGAATTCCGTTGGGAGCTTTACTTGGGTATACGACGACTCTTGAAGTTAAGGTACATGCAATTAATATATGTATTTGTCGAATAACTGAAAGATCTTTTATTGTTCATATTCATAAATTTGTTGGATTAACATTGTTTTTTGGAAAATGAAATATCAATATTGTTTTGAAATGACCATCAAACACATTTTTATTACATCAAAAGGTAATGAATTATTTTGTTATGTTTTGAGTAAATTAACGAATGGTCTTTATGGTTTGGGCTAATTTACACGTTTGGTTCTTAACTTATTTTTTTAATTCGGAAGGTCTCTAATATTTGTTTTTGTTTTGTCATTGATTTTTTAATTTATTTAAATAAACATAACCACAATCTCACTTTCACTTCACCTTACTTTACCTTAACTACCCCAATTTATTTAAATAAATTAAAAAGTTATGGGTAAAATAGTCTTTTTTGATAAGATATGGACTAAGCACGCAACAAAAACAAACTATAAAAACCTTCCAAATTAAAAAAATAAATTAGGAACCAAACATACAAATTATCCCAAACCATAAGGACCATTCGTATAATTTACTCTTGTGTTTTCCATCTACTACACCGAGTATAGCAACTCAATACTTAATTTTACAATTTTGGTCTTAATATGTTAGACGAACATAAGTAAATAAAATAATAATAATAATAATAATAATAATAATAATAATAAAAAAGTGGAAAATAGGAAAAAAAATTGTAAAAGAATGTTGTATGAAAGTGTAAAAACATTTAATTTTTTTCAAAAGTTTAAAAAATGTTCTAAAAATCATAAAAAGTTGTAAAATAGTTTTAAGAAAAAATATACAAAAGTGTAAAAAAGTTATAATTTTATAGAAAAAATCTAATTTTAGATAGATTTGTAAAAAAAATGTACCAAATTCATAATGAAATTAAAGTTTTGACAAATTTCAACAAAATTCATAACAAAATCTAAAACTCGACTATATACATTGTATAGTGTATACATATGGAAAGCATAAAACAATAGTTCGTTATCTATTAACGTAATATAATAGGAATCTTAATCATTTGAAGACAATAGACATATTTCCTTTCATAAAAACAATGTTAACCACAAATTCATAGTACTTCATTACTTGACAGGGTATATGGATTGGACTGATTGGTGGTGTTCTAACACAAACAATTACAATCGTATATATGATTTGGAGAACAGATTGGGATGATCAGGTAAATTTGGAAAATTAACTTTGATTTGGCATCTTGTTTAGATTTTTAATATTTTTCTAAATGGAGATCAAGTTTTGCCTATTATAGGTTAAGAAGGCTTCAGAACGTCTCGGTCGATTTTACTTAAAGTTGAATGAAGATCCTTACGAGATATCTAATGAGTGATGATTATGAAAAAGGATATGCTTGTGGTTAAAGGGTCAGAATATCCCGTCCACCGAACCAGACGTAGGGTTTTGGTTGTTTATATCATCATAATTTTTCATTGTATTATTTGACTCAATGAAAAAAATGTAAGATTTAATAAGGTCTAATCATTTTTATAACAAACACTTAAAAGAGAAACTTTGAATTATGTAACATGACATTTATTTACCTGATTGGTTATAGTAGTAAGTTATAAGATTAACAAATAAAAAACTCATACCATAATGAACTTACAAGAAAAGGAAACTTTACAAAATTATGGTAACTTAAGACTTCAACAAAACTTTTTAGTGCTTTTCTTGGTTTCAAAGTAAAATGATTCAAATTGTGAATTATAAAATCTTAAATTTCAATCAAGTGTTTTACTACCGTTTTAAAAGAAACTTAGTTGATGGTTTTTACTGACGCCCTGTTCTTAAGTTTTTTTAAGGAACGAAAGGGGAGGAAGAGATGTTCTTGAGTATTATTAAGGAGGGGAAGAGAAGGACAATAGGTGTTCTTGAGTTTTTTTAAGGAGTGAAAGGAAGGAAATGAAAGGAATTGTGTTCTCGAGTTCTTTTAAGAAAGGAAAAGGAATCAAATGAAATGAAAGAAAAGAAAGAACTTATTTTGTAAGATTTATTTCCTTCCATTTTTGGATGATTAGGAGGGAAATAGAGAAAAAAAAAGGAATAGGAAATAAATGAAAAGTTACTAATATTTCCTTTCATTCCTCTTTTTTTCCCTTCATTTTATTCCATAAAAAACTCGAGAATAATGTTTAAACAGGGTGAAACCGTTCTAAACCCGACCTGAATGGATCCAGAATTCTGAAAAATGGATTTAGTAGAACTGCAACCTATATATCTGTATACTAATAAAAGAGTAGCTATTTTGTCATGTATCACCATATTAGACATCTTAATTAATATGTTGCCACTTGTCAATCTATTAGTTCTCCATTTTAAATTTATTACACCTCCTCATTAATGTGATCCTATTTGTTAATATATTTATTCTCTATTTTAAATTTTAAATTTTATATTATTGTATTAATTAATTCATAAATAAAAAATGTTTAATATATAATAAAAACTAATTTTACATATTTTTTTGAATTAACGATTAAAATTTCACATAACTAATAAAAATCTCTTAATTAGTAATTTATTTAAAATAAACGATTAATAATTTTAAGTTTTTACTATAAAAGTCCAATTAATTTTATAACCGTGGTTCCTACGGGTTATAAACTAGTATATATATATATATATATATATATATATATATATATATATATATATATATATATATATATATATATAAACACTAGATGTGTGTCCATGCAAAGCGGTGGAGATTAATAGGTTTTATTGTGAATAGTTTATTATGAGGAAATAATTATTTGATTTTTATTATTAGCTATTATGTAATAAAACTTAACACTTTTAAATAAAATATTTATGTTCATACCTTATGTTTGTATAGTCTATTTATACTATTGATATAAATTAATTAATATTAGTGTTTAGTTTAAGAAATGTAAATTAATTTCTATACATGAATTTAATATTTTAAAATTTACATTTTTGATCCAAATTGAATTTCTTAATTACATTCTTTAATTCAAGTTTTCAAAATTTTAACAAGTATTAATGAATTATTTATGCATAATTGATTTGCATAAAAAGTTTTATAATTTATACCTCTTAAAATTCAAGATATGACTAATATATATATATATATATATATATATATATATATATATATATATATATATATATATATATATATATATATATATATATATATATATATAGTAGCTCTGGCGCGCCAGCCTTGCTTAGGGCTCCCTTGCGAGCCTTGCTAGGGACTCTCATGTCGGCCCGGTCTGGCGTTCCCTTGTCGGTATTTCCTGGTGTGTGCCTGCCAGCCTTGTCGGGCCATGCCCACCAGCCCCGCCCGATGCCTTCGGGCGGCCTTGCCCAATTCTTTACTAGTTGGGCCTAAATTAGGTTGGCCCAAGGCCTAACCTAATTCCCCTTGACCTAATTTCCAACAATAAATAAAATAGTGCCTCCTTCATAAGAAAGGACTTCAGCCAATGGCTCAGCTACCACCCATACTTCTCTCATTGGCTCAGCCGCCACACTATACTCCGGCATGGTGGCTCAGCACCACCGGCCACTTTCAGCCACCATACACCACCACCAACACCAAGATGGTCCTCTCTAGCTAAGGAGAACCATTATCAGATCTACCAGGTGGTCTAACTTGATCGTCGGAGTCTGCTCTCGAGGCATAGTCTCTAGGGCGGCTTAAACGACATTGCTCTGTGATGTCCAGATCTCCACCGCAGTAGAAGACAAGAAGAGGCATCTCAGATCGATGTCGCATCATTTGGCGCCATATGTGGGACTCAAACCCACGACGACGTTGTGGTATGTGGGAGATGGTTGGTGTGACAACTGCAGAAGTTTTAGAACAAGCAAGGTCTAAATTTTAACCATGTACAAATGAATTCACGACATAACTTGATGCATGAGAACTTTGAAAAACCAAGAGGGCATGTTTATATATATATATATATATATATATATATATATATATATATATATATATATATATATATATATACACACACACACACACACACACTTTGAAAGCCATGTTGTAATAAACCTTTGAAAGTCAAATAAAATCAACAAGCCATCAAGGAATCAAAGGAGTCAACAAAAGGCAAGTTGTTAGGACTTAAAGCATGTACTTGAGTTTTTGGTTATAAGATCCACCATCTTTGATATTTCGGTCGAGTAGGACCGAAATCACCATTCATGGAATAACACCAAGATCTAAAACACAAGTTTAAGGCCAACTAAGACCGAAATCACCCCATGCTAGGACCGAAATCCCTTCTTGGGTGATACCAAAGCCGAAATCAACATTGTGACTAGTGTACAAGTTTATTTCAGCCATGCCTTGACCGAAATCACACTTGGTTTGGCCGAAATCCTCATAAATATCTACATATTATATGCCACTTGATTGGTGGATTACTTTCCCAAGGTAATAAATTACACTTACCAACATAAACATCACTTCACCTTACCCTTTTATTCCACTATATATACCATGAATTGGAGACTCTTTTAATACATATTCTCAGTTAAGATACTTCACAAAATTCTCTCAAAATCAAATACCTAACATATTCCAATCTTCATACGTTTTCCACATTCTTCATCAAACTTCCCAGAAAGCTACACCTTAAGTTAATTCTTAAGAAGCATTGTAAGCATCTCCTATATAATCTAATGATTATCAAACACTTTTATGTTAGTTCACTTAATTTACACACAATTATATGCTCAAAATTGTTAGGATTACGACTACCTTCAAGTATTCTAACTTAAAGATCATCACCCTCACTTCGTTATCAAACCGCAACCACGCATAAGGTGAGTTCATACCCCTACATTTTTCAAGATTTTTTCTATGTTTTTGGGGGGATACAAGTAACACATAAGAAAATTTACGTTAAAATGAGAATTTAAATACGTTATTCTACTATTTTTACGAAAAGTGTTAAATACGTGAAACGACTTTAGTACCAAACTCGTATACTCTTACATGCAAAGTTTTGATAAAAACGTAAAGATATGAGAAACGAGTTCCAAACACCCCATATTATTCTTAGAAAAATATATAAAAACATATATATATATATATATATATATATATATATATATATATATATATATATATATATATATATATATATATATATATATATATATTGAGTACAATACTACATTAAACTATATGAATATAGTTTACAAAACTTTACCACCTTTGGAACCCGTTCACCAAAGGGTAAATTTATATGAAGTACATATATAATTGTTTTACGTCATTTCTATATTGTCCTGGAAAAAGGGGATAATTACATATACGAACGTTTTCATTTCAAAAATAAGTACTATTGTTGAATAAATTTGTGAGACATTGTCTTCATCGTACCTAACTAAGGTATACATGAAAGTCCTGTTTTATAATAGGAATCTCTCGTACGAGAGCGTGATACTTGTGTATAGATCTATACGGGACTGATGATCCCACACCCTGACTGTTAGCTATAGTCAAATCGGCAGGTTATGAGTGAAAATGTCATAAACACTTTGACATCTGAAGAACGTCGCCGCGGCAATTCATTTTTAGCACGGTTATGAAAACTCACATGGGGAAGCGACTATACGTATATTTTTACACGAAAACGTTTATATACGAATAAAACTGCATATTACTATATTAAGTATGGAAAATACTGGTACATTTCGGTCTTGGAACGTTTAAGACTACAACTCATTTTACAGAAAATATTGGATTTTCTGGAACAAACACTATCGTTTTACGAACAAATGGCTTACAGCTTCATTTTATGAAAAATATCGGATTTTATGGAAACAAAAACAATTACTTTACACGGAAAGGCTTACATTTATTCATACAAACTCTTATGAACTCACTAAGTTAATTGTTGACACTTTTTCAAAACAACTTGTATTCTCAGGGAACCAATAAACAGGTAACCACCAGCTTTTGCGGATGGGAGGTTATCGCGTCACACAATCTTTTTATCATTATAATGTAATTCATTTTTGAAACATGTAACGCTTACAAATGATGTAACTTTGTTAATTATAATTATGATGGTTGTGTTTTCTTTGATCATTTATATTCAATTGTTGTGATACAATACATGATATTCATTCACCCCAGGATGTTTCCACCATCCTTGTTTGGGGGTGTGACAGTTGGATTTGAGATCAAGGGTGAGTGTCGAGTTGGTTCCTTCTCCTGATATCACACTACAAAGGAAATAAATGACCATTAGACAACGTTTGGGAGCCGCTCCTAGGATGAAGTTCCGATGATCAAGTTAGAATTGATTCTGAGAGAAGGTAAGGAATGTGTAACACTCCAAATCAGGTATTACCTTTGAAGCCCTTGAAATTATAAATATTGCATAATAGTCCCTTAAGTACGTTGGGCGTACTTCATAGGTACGCTTATTGTACCATGCATGGATGATCGCGGAGGGCAAGCACGTATGTTGGGTGTACCAAAGGGTACACAGGGAGTACATGACGAATGTTCAAACCCTAATTTCCAAACTTAAGACCTATATAAGCATCCTTATCTCATTTGAGCTTCACCCTAACCAACCTCCTTCACCCTCAAACGTCCCTAAAAACCGTCAAATCATTAGAGAGTGTGTTCTTGAGCTTTTGAGTGTTTAAACACCATCCTTTTGGTGTGTTAGCTACAAGGAAGAGGAGAAATCAAGCTTTAACGAGGAAGAGCTTCAGGATCTCACATTTTGAGCGGTATAGGGAGCTTGAGAAGGTAAAAAGCTTTCACCTTGATCATCATTTTCATTCCTAGAGCAAGGGTTTTCTCTATAGCCCCTTTTTGTGTTCTTGAACCACCTCACGAGAGTTTGAGCAACTCCAGATCTTATGGAGGATAGATTTGAAGTCCTTTGGTCCATTCATAGCATAAAAATGGAGTCTGGATGGGTGTTTTGACCTCATGTATGGATTAAGGTGTTGTTTGATTTTCTGAAGAAAAAATTCATGAAGTCTGCGGACCATCTCTACAACCTTCTGCAGCAGAAGAGGTGGACCAAACGGATGCAGACTGTAATAAGAAGGGTGTTTGTTTTTTTAACATCAGTATACTGCTGTAG